AAATTAATCATAAAAGAGTCCAAGAACAATTAGCAAATCCAATCTTAATAAAAAAGATTGAAGAATTTAAAACTAAAATGGAAGCAGGAGTGTGTTCTAATCTTCCTCCAACTTTCTGGCATAGGAAGAAACACATGGTGAAACTTCCCTACAGTAAAGGATTTAGTGAGCAAAATACTCCAAACTAAATCCAGACCTATCCAAATGACTCATGAAGTAATGAAAATTTGTAAAAAAGAAATTTTTGAATTATTTAAAATGGTATCATTAGGAAAAGTAAATCTCCTTGGTCATGTCCTGCTTTCTATGTCATCAAAAATGCATAATTAGAAAGAACTCCAAGGTTAGTAATGAACTACAAACCTTTAAATTCTGTATTGGCATGGATCAGGTACCCAATTCCAAATAAACAGAATTTAATCAAAAGGCTTAGTAATATTTTCAAAATTTGATTTGAAAAGTGACTTCTGGCGAATTCAGATCTTCCCAAAAGACAGATATAAAAATGCATTCACAACTCATTTTGGACATTATAAATGCAATGTAATGTCCTTTGGATTGAAAAATGCACCTAGTAAATTTCAAAACATAATGAATGAAATATTCAATTCAATTAGTCATTTCTCTATAGTCTACATAGTCATTTCTCTATAGTCTACATAGATGACATCCTCATCTTCTCCAAGTCTATAGAAGAACATTGGAAACACTTTAATGCATTCTTAGAGATTGTCAGGCATAATGGTCTAGTCATCTCTCTTCTAATAAAATTAAGTTGTTTCAAACCTCAGTAAGATTACTTGGATATAACATCCAATAGTCAACTATTGTTCCCACAATAGATCTATTCAATTTGTAGATAAATTCCCTGATGATATTACAGATAAAAACTTAGCTATAGAGATTCTTAGGGTCTTTGAACTATGTTGCAAACTTCTATCAGGATCTCAGAAAAACAGTTAAACCATTATATGATAGACTCAAAGGAAATCCTTCTCCTTGGTCTTCAACTCATACATCCATAGTTCAGCAAGTCAAAAAGTATATCAAGAATTTGTCTTGGCTTGGTATTCCCTCAATAAATTCATTCAAAATTATCCAAACTGATGCCTTTGACATTGGCTACGGTGGTATCCTTCTCCAAAGAGTCACTCCGGATTCTCCAGAACAAATCGTTTGTTTTCACTCTAGAATCTGGAACAAAGCACAAGCTAACTATAGTACTATCAAAAAAGAGATATATATCTATTGTCATGTGTATCTTGAAATTCCAAGATGAAATATTAAATCAGAAATTTTTAGTAAGAATTGATTATAAATCAACAAAATATGTTTTAGCAAAAGATGTACAAAACAATACTAGTAAGCAAATTTTGTTAGATAGCAATCTATTTTAAGTATTTTTAATTTTGACATTGAATATATTAAAATCAATAATAACTGCATCCCTAATTTCCTAACCCGTGAATTTCTCCAGGAACCTCATGGCAAATAGGAAAAATAGTAAGTCAGGATCCTCTTCCAAACCCGGGAGGGATACTGAAAAACAACTAGTCTTACCTAGCCCAAATCCAAAGCCTAGTCAATTGCCTAGCCAAACCTCTACAATTGCAATAGCAAACCATTACAAAGCCCTTGGTAACCTTAACCCTAACCTTAGACCAACATACCGATCTTCTTGAATAAATCCAGGTACATTCCAGTATCAGGCCCGACCAGCCACTCCTAATGGCCCAATAGTAGTTGTGCCCATTACAGTAGCTAAACCTAACCAATTAGTTAACTCATATTAATCCCAACCTAGTTACAAAAGCCCAAAAACGGATTATATTGATAAGCCTTCGGCCTATAATATTTTCCCAATTGAACCAACCCATGCTCACCTTAGTAACCCAATTAACCTAGTCAATGCCTACCTTGAACAAGGTTGGACCTTTATCCCTCATGACCCTAAGAAAACATTTAAGTTCTATTAAGATATTCTTTTCTTTACCCAGTCCATTTTCATTAAAGAAATTCCAGACAGTAAAGACCCTAGTAAAAGTATTTATCATTCCTTATATATCCTTAAAATTATCTCCCTTAAATAATGGGGATCTCAACCTTCTTTGTCCCGAAATCTTCCAGGACATAGTAAGAAGTTTAGTTACTATGACTACAAAGAGTCATGGTTCAAACTTATCGTCTATCAAGATGAGTCTTATACTCATTCTTGGTTCATACAGTTCATCAAGGAATTCAAAAGCTAGCTTTCTGCCTGGTTTTCACAGTGGTGGCAAGTTCACGGCCCCATGCTTGAAATCCTACTGCTTGATCTTCAAGATCAGGTAATCTACTTCTCATTCACTTATAAACCTAATAAAAATGAGTCAGTTTCAGAGTCTATTAATATTTATGAAAAAATATAAAGTCCTACGGATATATAATTGGAAATGGGATATTATCACCAATTATGTTGTTAGACAATATCCTGTTAAGTGGTGGCCCAAGTTCCAGCACTAACGCATTATTGAACAAGTATAACAGGAATTCCTAGTAAAGGTCCCTACACCAGTCACGGTTACAGGAACAACCAGTCATGCTCTGACAACTCTAGTAAAACAGGTTATGTCAACTCTCAAAGTTTCAGCCTCTGCTGAATCATCGGCACAACCACCAGTAAAGCAGAAAAAATCCTCCTTCAAAGATTCCAGAAAGCAACCCAAGAAGAAGTCATCTGAACTCATGAGCTAGCACAAAAGCTTCTTCAATATGCAGCTAGTCAGAATAGTTCACCTGCCTTGTCTCAGTCATTAGTTAGCCCCTCCAGGATCCCTTCCAGGACTCTCAGAATCCCTATGAAGGATATGATGACTTAGACAACACTATCCCTTAATTCCCATTTCTATGTGTAATAGCCTCACTCACTGCTTTTTTCGGAAAGAAAAACTGTCTGTTACACATTCTAATGGAATCAACCTAGCAACAAGGCTCCTTTTCAGACAAAGCAACTGATAGCCAGCAACCAGATCAATTTTTCCACCAAAAGTAGATTCTCAGTCAACATCAGGGACTCACCAGGTTCGTCAGTCAGCATTCACCAGAGTAAAAGCATTTCACTCCCACTTTTCCACTGAAAGTAGAAGTGAAAAGCATTTCACCAGAGTTAAAGCAATAAAGGGAAATATTGCAACGATTCCCTCAGAAATCTTTATGCCCAAATAAGGGTTTCATCCATTCATAGCAAAGGGGAAGTCTTTACAGGCTCATTAAAACCAGAAAACACTCTCTCGTCTCCCTCACTCTCATGTTGTATCTTTGTCTTCATAATGATACAAATGAAGAATTTCTTCTTTAGCAACCTATCCCAGTAACCTATTTGTAATTTAATTGCAGTAATTTGTAATTTCTTTATTTTTGTGAATATAAAGATTTTACTTCAGTAATTTTTAATTCATCACCACTCCTTATATCTATCTATAGCTTGTGAATTATGTCTTTCGCACTTGTCTATATATACATAATAAACACTCACTTTCAAAGATATAATTTTCAAACCAAATCACGCGAAAATAATATTCTGATATTGGTATCATTAAATTGTACATGTATATCGTATCATCATCAAAAAATATAAATGAACAAAAAAAAGTTATGATCACAATTTCAAATTGTCATTGCAACTACACAATGATACCCACTCAAAAGAAAGTAATTACATAACAATCATTACAAAGACTTGAGTCACAACTACATATTCTTTTTTTGAAAGTTTAATGGATTTTTTGTCTTTAGTCTTCGGAGGCGAGCCTTCCAAAGCTGTTTTCAGAGCTTCCACTGATTTTTACTCAGCATTAATAGGAAGCACAAAGAGTACAACATATTAATAATCAACCATAGATCACATAGATCAAATAAGTATTTATCTACCATATGAACAATCAACCACAAATGACATAAGATTTTTTGTAACAATCCATTATATCTAAAGCAATTCAATCCTAAAAAGAACATTCGTAAATTTAGCAGACAACAAAAACAAAGTAAAACAATAATTGAAGTTAACCTGGGATGTTGAAGTTAGCCCCAAATACAATAGTTATTTTTACCAAATAATCAAACTGTGAACTAGATACAAAGAGCTTTCATCAAAATCTGTCTATGATGGAAAATAAAATATTTCAAGGAAATATATAAGGATAAGATAACTTACATAGACTTCTCCTGATCTCCTGCCAGTCCAAGCATTCATCTTCGTACTAAACTTGGTTGCTATCCACAGTTCCATATGGTTGGGCTCCTCTTCAATCTCGAGATCACGCTATCATGCATTAAAAATTAATACGAAAAATTTAAATAAATATGCATGTATACATGTGTATAGCTAATCACACAAGTGCAATAGACATTTAAAAACAACTCACACTACCGTAACTTATTCGAGCAAAACTTTCCACCCCAACTATATGGCCCATGTCCTTCCCCACTATCGGTACATTTCAATGCTCTCCGAGTCGATGACCAAGATCACGACCTTGAACTAGGGGTTGAACATGTAGCTTATGTGTAACTACTCAAAGATACATCAAAGAGAAGAAACTAACAATATAACATAGAATCTTACCCCATTGAAGAATAGGAAACTACCACCTCTGTTTGGAAACTGTAATAACATATGATGCAACCTGCAAAGGATTGAGAACTCTTTTAAAAGAAAAAAAAACAGGGGAAAAATAGTTTACAAGCTACATTATCTGATGCTCAAAACTCGTTGATTTCCCACTTGATTCAAATAGCTTACAAGCTATTAGGATAAGCAACATCATCTGATGCTCACCATGTTATTTGGTATAACTTTGAATTAGAGACCAGAGAACAAAAAATTCACGAGATTTCAGAGCCTCTTTTTATTTTTGAAATGTAAATTTTGTATCCTTCTATGTAAGAAAAATATATACCAGCCAATAAGTGGATAATTTCCCAGTTATTATTATCCCAACCATAAAAAATAGTGTACTTACCCTCCCATCATAGGACAATGATGCAAATATCCAAGGCTCTCTAGAACTCCAAGCAAGGCCTGCAATTAGAATAGCAGTTAGCCAAAGTTCAGTCAAGGTGAATAGAAAATCGAGGTTGCAGCAATCACCGTAAACACTGTCTTCATAGTCACTGTATGAATTGAGCAATGGATCTACTCGCCTGGTAGGTGACTCCACCAAGATGCCAAAACCACATAGAAGCAGGAAATGTCAGAAGAAATTAAACAAAGAAATTGATGTCATAAAGTTTCAGAACTACCAAAGAAGAAATGGACCTTTCAGATGTCAAATCATCACCACTAGGAGCAGAAGAAAATCACAAGTTGACAGCTGAATCTATTCCAGCACTCTGGGAAAGCTTAGTTTCTATCAGCAAAACAACTTGGGCTAGGGAAATGCAAAAAAGTTCATTCGAATAAAAGAAATCACTCAACCAGAAGAATATTCTCTCAAAAAGGGAGACCGGACGGGGCAACACTTTTAAAGTCAGGCTTTCATTGACCAGCGATGATAGCCGGATGGAACGGATGCCAATATCCCAAGATTTCAGTTGAATGGAAAGGAAAAGGGGGTCTTAAATCTATAATTTTATCCGGGGGATAACAGGACCAAAATAATATAATTACTTAAGCTAATACAATTCTATTTCCAGTCATTTTGATTCAAAAGATATTTATAAAGTTTTTCAAAGAGAAAAAATGGTTGTGCACAGAGTGTGTGTGTGTGTGTGAGAGAGAGAGAGAGAGAACCAATATTAGTCCTTCGTACTCAGGATTACATCTAACCGCCCATGTCCTGCCAATAATATCGAAAATATATTAATCTGATATGCACACAACATGGGAAACACATTCATATGAAGAACTTGACTTACTAAGCACATCAGACTTTAATCAAAGAACAATACACGAAAGCGAATGAAAACAGGGATCACAACGTACAAACAAGTTTAAATGAGAGCAGGCCCCTGAAAACACAACAAAGTCAAGCAACACGATAACACAATCAATCTTCTCCATCAATCCAAATCCAAGAGCATACATACCTTAATAAGAGCTGTCCATTTAAATATGTTGGAATCATCACAAACTAATTGAATATCTGGATCAGCCACTTTCTCCCTCTGAACCTCCTTGTATTCCTTGAAAAGCCTTGCTCTTGATGCCTGAACTTAGCATAAACACCGTATATAGGGCACAAGGCAGCATCAATTAATCACTGTTGCATTTACAAAAGAGGAGACATACACAACCAGCCATAAAAAACATCCTAGTACCACAATTAAACACCGACTAACCTGCATCTTTAATTATACTCACTACCTTCTGATTCGATACAATTCAAAACTCGGACAAATCTGAATTCCAAAACAGCTGCATAACAAAAAAAACACTTCAATCAACCACTCGACCATAATCGATCGATCGAGAGAGAGAGAGAGAAATCAGCAGACGAATATGAAGCTAATTTGAAGTTGTAGCTTAATACCTAATTTCTCAGAATCCAAACATTGTAAACGAATTGGAAACTTAGTCGCTGAATAGCTTCGTCCTCTTCAGATCTGATCTGCAATCACCGAGAGGATAAGAGAGATAAGGCTTTGTGCCCTAGCCGATCCTTGAGGTCGCAAAAGAGAGAGGGGGCCAGTGTGTAAGAGAAAGAAAGGTCGAGAAAGAGAGAGAGGAGGAAAGTATATGAGAACCGAGCTCGTATATAAAGTTTCACGCAAAAACCATAGGAGTGCCGAGAATCAACCGCAGTACAAAAAATGTAGTGACTAAAAATAATTGCTTATCTAGATTATTAGTGATAAAAAAAATTGTTGCCACTAAATTATTTTTCCATCAAAAATTAATGAAAAATAGTTAGCTTTTAGCCATGACAATAAAACTGTCACTCTTTAAATTTATTATAATATATATGGTGACAATAATTATTTTTTAACACTAAAAATTTAAATTTAATTAGTGACTAAATTAAAATTTTTGTCACTGGATATTTGGAATTAGCGGCAAATTAGTGATATGTTTTTGCCGCAACATTCAAATTGTCACTAACTATATTACTACCATATCTTCAGTGGCAATAATAATTTTTCACCACTAGTTATATATTGTTAGTGGCGATAAACAATTATGTTCACTAAATAATTTGAATATCATATTTTCTGTGGCAATAATAATTTTTTATCATTAAAGATATGTATTTAGTGACAACATTTTTAGCTGCAGTTTAAATCTAGCGGCCGAAAGTACAATTTCTTGTAGTGTCAGGAAAAAAAAAGAAGATTAGAAATATGGATACATTGATCAAAGTCGGAGATAAGTTACGAATCGCAAATAATTTCCACATTAGTGGTTGTTTAGTACCCTTTTGACATCGGGGGCCATAGAATCTAGGGAGAGTGTTTTTGACAGGTCTTTGGCTCTAGTCTACAATGGAAGAGTTTAGTGAGATGTGGTCGCAGTTGTTCGCATGCAAATTTAATGCAGAATGAAAATGATAATTTTTCAAGGCTTATCCCATATTTCTTGACCCAAACAACAAAACAAACTTTCAGAAACGCACCAAAAAAAGATGGCTTCATTTTGTCTCATTATGAGAGACTACATTTTTTCACAAAACAAACTTACATGCTATATTTTTGTGACCTTGCATTGAGACAGTCCAATATACCATCTTTCCAATCCAATTCATCCGGAGGTTGTTAAGTTGTAGGTTTTATATCTTTCTTCCTTTATTTCGCAGGTGATGATGAGCAGAGTGATTGAATCATGGGTAGTTGACTTGAGAGATGCTGTGACGAGGGCCTTCATTGTAGAAGTACAAAGATATATGACGCATTTTCCTTTGTTTTTGGTATGTTCCACAGTTGATATTCATGCATTCACTACATTGAATTTGTCTGCACTTGGCTCTGTGAAGAGTCAGTTTAATATTTTTGTGATTGTTATGCCCCATTCTATAGTGTGCATGGTGGTTTTGTTCCGAGAAAGTGAGTTTGGTACTTTCTATCCCGGAAAGTGAGCTTGGTGCTTTCTATCTGATCCTAATACATCATTTTTGATTCTTTGAAGAAAAATTTCTTGCATTTGGATCTTAGAGATGAAGAGGAACTTCAATCAAGATGAAGTTTTGAGGGAAAATTTGAACTTCGCTTCAATGAAACGGAGGACCAAATCATAAGAGTTTGTAGAAATACCTTAAATAACGACATTAAAACATTTAGAAAAAGACTTGGTATTCGCAGTGAAATTATCAATTTATCATACTGGTCCTTTACTTCTTGATGCTGATTGTCAAATGTCAAGACATCAAGAAACTAAGTTTTCTGCTTTTCCTTTTTCATTCCGCCATCTGGGCTACCCAATGTCATTTTGACCTTCAAAATCAAATCCAAATAGCAATACCCTCCTTGGCCTCTTCTACTCAACCGAACTCTTTCTGGATGCATCTAGCCTTTTAGAGCATCTCCAAGGCTGCTCGCCACTTTAGCCGTTTAGCTAGTTTGGCGAGCAAAATTCCAAAATTGAGATTTTTGACTTTTTAACACAAAAATTTTGCTTCTAAAATGACTCAAAACTAAACGTTAAATCAATATTAAAGAATTCAAAATATATAGGTTAAACATTGGATCAATTTCTAACAAACACAAATACAACGAATTTTGGAATAAAATCATGCACCCTACTGAATACTTGAATATTCATGTCATTTCCTCGTAAAACAACATCTCATTTCCTTATCATAACTTAGTTCCTATTAGGGTCTTTCCTGGGATGGAACTCAAGAAAATTTAATCTCAGACAATATCTGACATTGAAGAAACATTATCCATGATTAGAAAGATGTATTTGTCTAAGTTTCCCTTTTCTTTTGGTCGTCATCTAACTTGCTGAATAAAAAGAGTTAGTACTAGTGGGTGGGAAGATTTTAAAACATCAATCAAGCTTAGGCATATTCAATTGATAGATTAGCCATGAGATTGAGCCAACATGTGCATGATTTCCATGTTTTTAGATGATAATGTGTAAATGCTTCACAAACACATTAGATACAAAGTGGTAACTCACATAGACTGAGCCAGGCTTTAATTAGATTCTTTCTTCTGTTTTTTTGGGCAAGGAGAAAGACATTTAAGCAGAGTTCAGGTCCATACAAGAAGAAACAATTTTTAGAAGTAAGGAAAAAAGTTTACCAATCCTTTTGACATTGATATCGCAGCTTTCCAGGTTTTACATCGGTAATGCCGATGTTTCCACTATGCTATAGATTGAGAATTACAAAAACTTGCTTGTTAACATGAAACTAAAAATTTCCAATACGAAAACACAACACAGTATTCTCCCTACCTGGATGTAATCCATTATCCTTAGAAAATGCAGCAACTTCACCTTATTTGAATTTGAATGACCAAACTACCAATAGCAGGCAACCCAATTTTTTTTTTTTTTTGAACTTAGAACATTGATTGTATTGGAATGGCGGCTAAGCACATTCTGATACAAACATAAACATTGTTCTTGGTTAAATTACAAAGACCTCTTACAAGGTCATCATCATAGAATTTGCAATAACGCCATCCCTTTCATTCACATAGATACCTAAAGTGTAGATAAGAAACATATTATATATATCTATATAATAAAACATGAGTGTATTTGAATTTTATCTCAATCATATTTTTCCCTTTAAAATCATCATCAATCACTTACCTCACCCATCATCCCTTTGTCAGACTCAAATGTCAAATCACATCACTCATTTCTATCACATATTTAATCATTTATATATTTCCTCCCTAAAAATATCACACCACTCATTTATATCATATATTTAATCATTTAATATTTAATTAATTTGTAGTTAATATATTTTGAAAAAATTTAATATAGTGGAATCGATTTTTTGGACGCTCGAATTTTATATTTTATCGTGTCTTCAGGCACGGGTTATGACTAGTATATATATATAACAAAAAAAAAAAAAAGAGTGCATATCTTCAAAAAGTTTTTTATGCAAGCAACATGAACCGTATGGCTTAATTATGCTGCCATGTTGTTTGGACCAAAAATTGTGAACCAAAATATTCAGGAACTTGAGATTATTAAGTACAAGCAGACAGATTGTGTAAAGAATGCATAATAGGTGAATGCACAATTGAAAAGCCGACAATAACAGCCCCAGAAGGTCTTAATCTACCGCCAAAGGAATAAACCTCTGACCTAACTCTTCATTTTATTAGTCTGGGGCCCTAAGAAATGCCTCAGAATTTACAACAAAATTCCCTGCAAATGCCATCCACTTCATCAACATGCCATCGAGTTAAGCAAACATTGACAACTGAACAATGCCCGATTTATGAAGTATGTTCCAAAGTTTCATTATCTTTTCCATTATTCCATTTATTTGGTATGAGGATGACTTCAAAAATTTCTGGTAATTAGATTTTCTTTTTTAGGCAAAGAATTCATGTAGACAGGTATAGACTGGAGAGGTGTGTTGAGATTCCAGATAAAAGGTCATTCATTTTATGATACTGAGTGCAAGATTTTTGTGTTCCTTTTGCTCTTCTTGGCCTTGGCTTTTAGAAAACTGATATCCAAAATTGGATTTATAATATTAGCGATTGGAATGGAATGACTGGCTAACTTCTATTGAATTGAACCCTTCAAATCAAACAATTTAAGGCATAAGTTCAACTTAAAATATATTGGGCATGTCTAGCAAGCTTAGTTGCAGAGAAATAAATAGTAATCTATGCATTTTTCACTAACCTATTTTCATTTGACCAAACAAAAACTAAACTATTTTCGAGAAATAACAAGAATACCAATATCTTCTAAAATATTTAGCAAAAACAAATAACAAATAGAACTATGTTATCTTGAATATAAAATGTTGATGCAGCCATAGAGATACTGACATCATTGTTAGAACATATGGACACACCGACAAAATCATGTAATCCAATACTTGACAACTTATAACCGAAATAAATTATGATAAACTATAAGGGGGATATATGTAGTTGACACCCAATGTTACGAAATCTATTTAAACTACTATTAGTGGAACAACTTGGTGCACATGCATTCAAATCAAAATGAATAAATAATCACAGTGAATAGGCTACAATACATCGGTGTGTGTTTGGGGAAAAGGATGAAATAATAGATTGACAAGCCTACTGTTATGAACAAAACTACAAGCAAAATAATAGTGCAACGAAATAGAAAAATAGAACACAAAGATTTACGTGGTTCGGCTCAACAATCAAGCTTACATCCACGAACGAAATACAGCGGCAAAATTTCACTATTGAAAGGTTGAAGATTACAACGTTCTCAAAACAAATCAACGTAAAAACTAGATATTTGTTCTATTCCAATAATACAATATTTATTGGATTTAACAAAATAGAACAATATCAATTTATCACACACAAAGAGAACTCTTGTACCGTCGTCAATAGCCAACACTCAACTCACTAGAGAAGACGTCTTTTTTATCAAGCTTCTGGACTAAGAAATTTGATTCCTTCACAAAGTCTTCATGCTGAGGAGGTCTCACGTGTTGGACAAAAAACCAAATACTCCTTGAAGGCTTTAAATTTAAACAACAAAAGTCCATGTTAGACTAAACTCCACTAAAATAATAAAATTAAGATAATCCTAATTAAGGTCAAACTTGTCTATCAAGGACTCCAATGAAAACTCATGTCTTCAATTAGAGTCTAAATAAAAAACAATTGACTTGAATACAAGTCATTACAACAAATCTCCACCTTGACTTGTATTCCATCAATCCATCCAACCAATGTGAACTTGACCGTTGCTTTTGTCAAATACCCCGAAGGGTACACTCAAATAGTGCAAACACCAATCAAGTCCAAACAATGCTTGAACTTGAACACTGATACCGGTTTAATAAACATATTTGCTGAGTTCTCCGCTGTAGCAACCTTTTCATTGTAACAATACCTTGAGCCTTAACTTCACGAAGGAAGTGATACCTAACATCAATGTGCTTGGTCCTTTCTTGATACATCTGATTTTTGGTCAAATGTATTGCACTTTGACTATCACAAAACACAATAGTTACCTCTTTTTTCAAGTTCAAATCACAGACCAAACCTCTTAATCAAATTGCTTCTTTAACTACCTCTAATACTGCCATGTATTCTACCTTTGTGGTAGACAAAACAACTGTAGACTGTAGGATCGCCCTCCAACTTACAGTGCACCCAAATAAAGTAAAAACATAACTTGTCAGAGATCTCCTTTTATCTAGATCACTCATATAATCAAAATCACCAAAACCAGCAACTGTAGAATCTATGACATCTCTTCTACCAAATACTAAGTCAACATCTGTTGTGCCTCTCAAA